CGCTGGAAAAGGGGAATTTTTGGGGCATTACAAGAGGGAAATACCGCACCAGGAGAGATCATCGGGAAATTGCAAGGCTTCCTCTTAGTGCTCCTCCAACCATTCGTGCATGGAAGTCCACGATTTTCCCAGTACCTGCTGGAAAAATGAAAATTTTCCTTGTTTTCTGAGCGTTCCCAGTTCAGGCTGAGCACTAGAGGAAAAAATACCTGCTCCCCATGTCCCAGGAACAGCTTGTCTAGGTGAAAGCACTAGGAATAAGAGCCGGGCTTTGTCTCACCTCACTGTGCTCTAGATGCGATTCTTCATTTAGAGATAAAAAGATAAATTCAGGCTCCGTCTTGCTGCTCACCAGGGAGAGATCACAGCTCCTAAAATCCCACTCTGTGACAGATAGAATAAATAAACATTGATTTTTCTCCTGGATAACATTAATCATGACTTGACACGGTTACACCAGAGAGTAAACCGAGGGTAGGCACCGCAGGCTCCTGCCAAATGGATCCAAACCTGGAAATCATCATTATTGGATAAACCTTGGCTGAAGGGATGAGCCTCATCCCCAGAATCTGACATCCCATTTCACATGTCCCACAAGCCATGTGTCTGGTCTCCTGGTGCTGTAATGAGGATTTAGAGCTGCTTTTCATCACCCACGAGGAGATGCTGGAGGGAAGGGAGCACCGGGACGGTGCTGGAGCTGTCACAGATAATGAAAATCGAGTGGTTTGGGGGCTGAGTCCTCCCCAAGGGCAGCCTCCACCTGCCTGGACCTGGAAATCTGCCCTGTCAGAAAACCTACTCCAATGGTTTGATTAATCCAAGTTCAGCCTCGCTTTTTCACCTTTGCTTGGTGGAAGGATGGGAGACACAGAATGGAAATGAATTCAGTTAAAAAGCAGGATCACATTTCATCCCTGCTGAGAGGCTGGTGTGGAATATTCATCCCTGCCCTCCTGGGGTAAGCATCTCCATTGTGGCACCTGCTTTCCTACTCAAATTCCTTAAGATCCTTGTGCAGGGCAGCAGAGCACCTTCCAACAGGCTGTACTAGGAGTCACCAGGATCAGCCCGTCCAGCCTGGCCTTGGACACTGCCAGGGATCCAGGGACAGCCACAGCTCCTCTGTGTCACCACCCTCCCAGGGAAGGATTTCTTCCCTACGCCCAATACAAACATACCTGGAGGAAGATTTTGGCTCCTTTCTGCTCCCAGGCGCAGCTGGAGCAGGTTTTCATACGCTGTGACATCTCAGGCAGAATTAGATGGATCAACATGCTCAGGGTAGCCCAGAAGAGGATGTGCCATGTCCCAGTGAGACCCACACACGGTGACACAGAATCCTGGGATGGTTTGGGAATTGGTTACTCTGGAAGCAGCTCCTTGAGAGGAGACCTGTACTGATAAATAAATAAAGTTCATTCAGATTCAGAAATTTAAATGGAAACTTGAGGGTTGACCTCCTACTTCTATATACATATATAACATATTTGTAATTTTTATAGTATTTTATATATTAACAAACATGTTAAAATAATTTCAATATATTCATTTATTTTAATATATAAAGAAAATGTTTATATATAATTTCTTAATATATGTAAAGAATTTTTTCTTAGAAATACATAATTATATATCTACAAATTTATCTCTTGGAATATGTAACTGATCTGTAGGCATCACAGGGAATTAAAAAGAATTGATGTAGGAAATCAAGATTCAGGAGTTGGGAGACAGCCCAGGATTTGAAGAAGTGTTCCAACTGCAAACTGGGATAAAGGGAAAACCCTTCAGGAACTCTTCTGCTGCTGTAAATTATTTTTACACTCCTGGTGATGATTAGTCTGAATTTAAGCCCTTGAGGCTCAAATTGACTCTTCAGCCTGTGCCCAGAGCGTGCCTGCTCTGAATAAATCCTGCATTTCCCATGTGACTGTATCACCCTGCCACCCCTCACCACCAGGCAGCAAGTGGAGAAATCCATGCCATTTTTCCATAAAAAAATGTTTTAAATAGATCAGATGAGTCAAAGCCCCCAAACACATTGTTGTCTCCATCAGGGGAACCTGTGGTGACTCATTCAAAGCCCACAAAGAGAGAGGATGAGAATGAGATGGGCTGAGATGACTCAAGTCCTGAAACCTGGGAGCAGGAATAATCAGAAAACTGCAGCTGGGGTGGAAAGTCAGCCCTGCCTGGGTGGGAAGAGACACACTGGAGGGGAGATGGAGAGGGAGGTTTGGACAACAGCAGGTTTGGAGGCATTGAAGGAGCCGGGTGTGCCTGAATCCAGCACACAGAATTATGGAATCCTGGAATGGAATGGGTTGGAAGGATCCTAACACTGATTTTGTTCCACCCCTGCCACGAGTAAGGGCACCTTCCACTATCCCAGGCTGCTCCAAGCCCTGTCCAAGCTGGCCTTGGACACCTGTGCCAGGGCCAGAGAACTGCGGATGCCCTGTCCCTGGAAAGGATGAGATTTTGCAGGAGGGAGGGAGATGTTCTTATTTAGAGACAAAAAAATACAATAGCAAATACAATAACACCATGTCTTAATTTTCCACGTTAATTAGTGTTGCATTAAATTGACAACAGACACCGCTGAAGTAATTTCCAATCAATTTCGGTCAATTAAAATGAGACCAGCATTCCTGATTGCAAGTTCATCGATGTGCAGCTTCAAGGGAAAGCCACCTCCCTCTTAATCCAATTTATGACCACTCCCATCCAGCAAAAAATTGCCCCAAACCCACTTAAGTCCCACCCTTTAGTTAATGGCAGCTTGAGTCAAGATATCACAGGTCCTGGAGCTGAAGTCCTCAAGCCCCATTGGTCTCGCCTGAACTCTTCCATCCTTTAACATGGCTGGAAGATTTTAACTTTCACACCTTCCCTACATGAGCAGCTGCCAGAGGGTCTCTGAAACACCTGAAAAGAGAATGAGCCTTCCCCAGAGGCCTTGGGAACCATGCTGGGGTTTTAGGGCTGGGATCCCCATGGCACACTGGAATGGATGCCCACAGGAGCGATGCTGCTCACGTGCACAGTGGTGTCAGCAGGAGTGAAGCAAAACCAAACTGGTTTGTTGGAGACTTGAGTTTGAAAGGTTTTTTAAATTCTTCTCTATTTCTACATGACCTTTAGTTATATATAATTATATTTTTATAATATATCCTTTAATCATCATACATGGGACAGGAAAATACATTAAGTAATGGACATATTAAAGGAAATTATTGCTTTATCTTAGCAATTATAAATTTTCTTTCATACTACACATTCCCTAGAGCAAATGGAAACTGGAATTGTTTGGATTGGAAGGGACCTTAAAGATCATCCAGTTCCATCCCCTGCTATGGGCATGGACACATTTTACTGGACCAGGGTGCTCCAAGCTCTGGCCAAAGCAGCCTTGGACACTTCCAGGGTACAACTTTACTTTCTAAAATTCTCTTCCTCTTTTCTCAATCAGGGCTTTAAAAATTATAGAAAAAAAATAATAAATAAAATAAATAAAGAGCCAACTGCTGCTCACGAGTTGCCCACTCTTACCTAACAGATACACGTTTCTGGTTCAGAAATGAGCATTGTCACTTCCCGCCTTCTCACTTCCCTCTTGACCCCGCCGTGCCGGCTGCTCACCGCTCCCTGTGAAACAGGGCCAGTTCCTCTTCTGCCCTCACTGCCCCCCAAGCAGCTTTCACTTCCCCATTCCAGCTGAGTCAGAGGCTTATTACAGGGAGTCATCTGACTGTGTGCCAACGCTCCTCTCCTGCTCCATCCTGGTGGCCACCACAACCTCCACAGCTCTGTCCAGCCTGTCCTGCTGTCTGGGGCAGTTATTCACCATGAGAAAGATTCACTGCTTACCTTTTTTGACTTTTTTTCTGGCTCCCATTTGGGACCAAAAAAGTTCATTTTGAAAAGCCATTTTGTACCATGTGTTTCAACATGGGCTCAGGAGACCCACCTGCATCTTCACCGGCTGGAGAATCCTGGAATGGCTCGGATTGAAAAGGACCTTAAAGCTCATCCAGTTCCACCCAGGAGCTCCAGGAGCTGCGGATGAGCCCTGGCAGGTGTGATCCTGCCCAGGGCTGAGCCCCCTCCATCCTGCTGCCCGCTGTCAGCCCTGCCTCTCTCACACCTCCTCATCTGGCGCTCGATAGCGGCCCCGCAGCCAGGCCCGGCTGACAGCAGGAGATGGATGGGGCTGAGCCGGCCCCGCAGGGCACGGATACGTGTGGGGGATGTGGGGGAACCTGGGGAGGTGGTGCCTCCACACTTCACATCAGTCCTGGCCCTGGTCCCAAATGCAAAAGCTGCCCTGGCTGCCACCTTGGCTGCCCCACAGGGTCCCCTCTGTGTTATGATGTTCAAGTGCTGAACACAAGGCTGGACAGAAGGCTGAGCCCCACTTGAGGGAAAATGTCCAGCACTGTGCAGAGCAGGGAGGGAGTTCAGGCCAGTGCTGCCGTCACTGGAACACCAACAGGTACAGAAAGCCATCAGCATCCCCACAAGGACATCCCCTGCTCCTCCAGACCCTCTCCCAGAGCCTCAGCACCCCTCATCCCTCTAGAACATGCTCCATGGTGTGCTATGAGACAGCATCCATGGCCCCAGTGCAGTTTGGAGGGGAGTAGGGGGGCTCTGGAGCAATCCCTCTGCTTTTCCTGCTGTCTGCCCCATCCCACTGTCTGTCACCTCCCACAAAGAGCCCTCAGCCCGCGGCGCCTGCTGGTCCCCATCCATCTCCTGCTGTCACTGCAGTGAGAGGCACAGGGGTCCCAGCACCAGGGCAGAGACTGGACCCACCTTGGGGGGGGTTATGGGGAGGGGGAAGCTCGTTCCTCCCTCTGGGACTGCAGAGGCTCTGCTGGAGCAGTGGATCTTTGCCAATGCCTCAACACCTCAACGTGGTTTTCAATTTCAGGTGGTGACAGCCACGTACCGAGAGGGGCTTTGCCTGGGGGAGCCCCCACCTCCCCCCGCTCAGATCTGTGATATGGAGGGACAAGAACACCCCAAGAAAGATGTCCCTGCCCAGCCTGGGGCATCCCAAGCCCTGTTTGGGGACTGGGGGTGCTCCCAGTGGTGCCACCGCTCACCTCCCGTCCATCATCACCGCGTCACGGCGCAAAGGCAGGCTGGGCAAGGGGATCGTGCTCCAGCCCCCAAGGACCACCTCGGCTCCAGCCCCCGCCTCTCCATCCCTGAGCTGGGGCATAAAACCCCCGGCAGGCTGCAGGGACACTGCAGAGCCAGCACTGCGCTGGGAGGGGGCTTTGAAGGGTCCCATTGCCACCATGCCGGGGAACAGAGCCACGGACACTGCCTGCCCTGCCACCACACCCATGGCAGGTAAAACCCACCCACAACAACAGCCCCTGGACCCAGTGGGGGGGTCCCAAGGCGGTTTGGGGTGTGGGGGGACGGGGATAAAATCTCACTGTGGTAGGGGACAGGAGACCCTGATCCTGCCACCATCTCCATGGAGGGAGGGTGTGATGGGGTGGCCTTGCACGGGGTCTGCGCCCCCAGACCAACATCCTTTCAACCCTCTGCAGCGTTCCTGGGGGGCCCGGGTGAGGGGTCTCCATGCACCCCCGGCCTCGGGTGGGCTGGTGAGGGGCCGGGGGCTGGCGGCAAGAACCGGCACGTGTGCCACGCCGCGGCACGGCTTGAGATGGGCAGCCTCTGGGAGGAGTTCAACCGCCTGGGCACCGAGATGATCGTTACCAAGGCAGGCAGGTGGGAACCAGTGTGGCCTGGGGAGCTGCAAAGAGGTGGGGGGGCACCCCCTTCCCACCCCCTCCCTGTGCAGGAGGATGTTCCCAACCTTTCAGGTGAAGCTTTCGGGGCTGGATCCGTTGGCAGACTACGTCCTGCTCATGGATTTCATCCCGCTGGATGACAAGAGATACAGGTGGGGACAGGGCGGTGGGGGCAGGGGATGAGATCTGGGGGTGCTGAGCCCCTCCCTGCCCTGCAGATACGCCTTCCACAGCTCATCCTGGCTGGCGGCAGGCCGGGCCGAGCCAGCAGCTCCTGGCCGCGTCCACTTCCACCCCGACTCCCCAGCCAAGGGCGCCCAGTGGATGCGGCAGATCGTGTCCTTCGACAAGCTCAAGCTGACCAACAACCTCCTGGACGACAATGGCCACGTGAGGACTCTGCTGCAGGCTGGCTGGTGGGGACACACAATGCATCCCTGCTTGGGAGGCTCCAGCCACCTCCTCTTTCCCACCCCTAGATCATCCTCAACTCCATGCACCGCTACCAGCCCCGCTTCCACGTCGTCTTTGTGGACCCGCGGCGCGACAGCGAGCGCTTCGCCCACCAGAACTTCAAGTCCTTCAGCTTCCCAGAGACCCAGTTCATGGCAGTGACAGCCTACCAGAACCACAGGGTGAGCACCAGCCAGACGGAAACTGGGGCCCCTCCCAGGGATTCCCTGACCCCGCTCCCCTCCGCAGATCACGCAGCTGAAGATTGCCAGCAACCCCTTTGCCAAGGGATTTCGGGACGGCGACCCCGAGCCATGGTAAGGCAGCCTGGACGTTGTCCCCCCACCACGGTGAGGATGTCACCTCCCTGAGCCCCCACCCCACGTCTCTTGCAGGTGTGGGGTGCCGGCAGGGTCCCTGCTGGGGGCAATGCCCCGCGCCCAGGCCACCCTGCTGCCCGAGAAGCAGGAGAAAGGTAGGGGGGCTGCAGGGGGGGCTGAGCCCCTGCTGCTGCCTCTCCCCCCTGCAGCGGCTCCACGCAGCCACGGGGCTCTAGCTGCTGCCCCACAACCGCCAGCAGCACCCCCCAGTTTCCCCGAGCTCCCTGCCCCCACCTTCCAGCCCCTCACCTGCCCCCCTGGTGTCTGTGTGGGAGCCAAACCCCGCACCCTGCCCTACCCCCTGCCCGCCTTCCCCCAGCTCAGCACCTACGGCCCCACCGCAGCCCCCACCTTTGGCTACAGCCAGCAGTGACGGGGGCACCCCCAAGCACCCCCTGCACCTCCTACCCAAGCAATGGCAACGCAGAGCTGGGGGGAGGCACAGGGATGGCTTTATTCACCACCAAGGAGGCTCCAGGGGTCCAGTGGGGGGGAATTTAGGGCACAGCCGATGTTCCAAGCCCCTGGAATCCCCTTGGCACGGCTATTCCCAGGTGTCCGGGGCAAAGGCGAAGGGGCACAGCTTGTACCCGGCACCCACGTAGAATTTATTCTGGAACTCCACCCTGGCAAGAAGAGGAGGTTGAGGAGTGCTCTGGGGGGCCTGTCACGTCCCTCCAGACCCACCCAGGAACCCATCAGCTTAGGGGGCTCACCAGTGCAGGCGCAGGGCGTGGAGGAAGGCAGAGAGTCCCTCCATCACCAGCAGGATGGCCACGGTCAGCACGGCAAAGGCGGCGAAGACGGGCACCAGCACCACGCCGCCCACGTAGCTCAGCCCCACGAAGCCATTCCGCATCACCATGGTCCACAGGACCTCGGAGAGCTCTGGGAAAGGGAGGGACAAGACCAGGAGGGGGGAGTGAGGGTCTGCCTGGCTCTGAGTGGGACAGGGGTACCAGGGGGACTCACGGGCGTGTGCCAGGCTGAGCGCCCAGAGCCGCAGGTAGGACGCGGTGTTGGAGACGCAGCCCAGGCAGTACTCGATGGTGTGGATAGCCTGATGCATGAAGATTTCAGCAAAGTCCACGTGCTGCAGGGAGGGAGGGGACATGGGACATCAGCTGGGACAATAGACACCCTCATCCCACCACCAAAGCCCGCCTGGATGCTCCTCACCTTAGCGTCAGGGCTGTGCCCTCCTCTTTCCACATCCTCTGTGATGGCATTGACAGAGTTCCCAGCCTCCTGCCCCTCCAGCAGCGGCTCCTGTTCCCCCGTGGCCAGCGGCTGCACCAGGACAGCACCCACAGTGAGACCTCCTTGTGACCCCCATGGAGCCCCCCACGGCTCCTGGCCTTACCGTCCTCGGGGCACCCTGCCGGCACCACTGGTACAGCGGCGTCCCCAGGAGCAGGACGGGCACCGACGCCAGCGCCAGCACCACCAGCACCATCTGCACTGGCACCTGGGGCACAAGGACAGCATTTTGGGGTCTACCCCCACTCCTGACTCCCACTCTCCCAGTCAGGGTAGGGAGTAGGTGTCTGCCAGGGCAGTGGGTGGTACCTGCCCTGGGTAGAGCGGGAGGTTCTCGGCATTGGAGGTGAAGAGGAACATGTCGATGAAGTGGATGAGGATGCTGGGGGCCACCATGGACTCAGCAGCACTGAACTTGATCCACTTGTAGAAGATGAGGAAGACCAGGTAGCCAAAAAGAGCCAGGAGGAAAATCATCTCTGGGAGGAACTCCAAGACCAGCCGGTGCCGCTGTTGGAAGTGCCTGGGTGGGAAGACATTGGCCGTTCTCAGCCTGTCCCTTCCCACCCACGCACATCCTTGGTACTCACTGAGGTGCAGGGGTACAGGACCCCAGCTGCCACCCCATCCTACCCAGGTGAGTCCAATCCCAGCCCCCTTAGCATGACCAGAGCCCGTGGGTGCAGCCCAGGGACTCACACGTGGTTGAAGACCCCCAGCACGACGCCAAAGCCCATGTGCACGATGCCCAGCACCACTGACATCTTCATCTTGAAGGAGTTGAGGAAGTTGAGGTGGTTGGCGGCCAAGCTCCAGATCTGTCACAAACAAGGTGGGTGAGACTCTGCACCCACAGAGGGTCCCACCTTGTTGTCATCCCCATGGGACACTCACTGGGTCGATCCCAAACGGATATGGCCCTTGGAAGACACCGGTGACATTGGGGTCCAGGGTGAGCGAGGGGTGGGTGGCGAGGTACGCAGCGCTGGGGGCAGAGAGAGGGGTGTCAGTGCCAGCAGGAAGAGGGAGACCCGGGCAGGGGGCACGGGGTGGGACCCCACCTCCAGGAGGAGTGGTTGGCCATGGTGGCCACACTCCAGGCAGAGGGGAAGATGGCAGTGGCTTTGCTGAAGCACTCGTTGTAGATGAACCCGGTGTAGATGGAGAAGGCACCCATGAGCAAGATGAGGTAGCGCCCCTCAAAGAACATCAGCCAGATCTGGGGGGGGGGGGGCAAACACAGCTCCCATGTCCCACACCACCTCCCCTGCCCCACACCACTCCCTTCCCACAGCACCACCCTGACCCATACCAACCCTGTTCCGAGCCACCAGCCCCATCCTGTATCATCCAGTCCCATCCCATAACCCCAACCATGTCCCACACCTCCAACCCTGCTCCACTCCCCCACGCTATCCCATGTCTGTAACTGCATGCCACCCCTCCCTGGTGCCCCCACCTCGTTGGTGCCCTGCCGCAGGCGGGGGCTGTCCTCGTACAGCACCATCCAGAGCGCAAAGAGGAACATGAGCAGCCCGTGCCCCACGTCCCCAAACATGATGGCGAAGATGAAGGGGAAGGTGATGATGGCGTAGGGTGCTGTGGGACACAGGGACTGCATTACACAAGGCGTCCCCTCTCAGCCTGGGGCTCAGGGGGTGCCAGGGGGCCTTACCGGGGTTCACCTCCTGGTAACTGGCCACCCCGTAGGCGTCCACGATGCTCTGGAAGCCGGAGGTGAACTTGTTGGTGCGGATGAGGGTGGGGGGGCTCTCCGAGGTGGGGACGCGCTGCACGAAGCACTCCACGCTGGAGCCGCTCTGGTACTGCGGGAACAGCACCCAGAACCTGATCCTGGCACCCCTGGCACTCCCCTGCCCCGCATGTGGAGCCTGCCCCTAGCACCCAGCCCACAACACCCCCGTTCCTGGCACCAGCACCCAGAGCTTGGTCTTGGCACCCACCCCACAATCCCCCCCAGCCTGGCACATGCTCCATCATGATGAGGGGACACGGGGACACCAAGCAACCTCTGGCATGAAGACATGGGGACACTGAGCAACCCCACAAAAAGGACATGGAGACACAGAACAAGCCCTGGCATGAGGACATGGGGACACCAACAAACCCCTGACATGAAAACGTGGGACACCAAGAAACCCAGGCACAAGGACATGGGAACACAGAGCAACCCCTGACACAACGACAACTGAGCAACCTCAGAACAAGCACATGGATAGACTGAACAATCCCTGGTGCAAGGACACAGGGACACAGAGCCACTCACAGATCCCTGGCGCAGGGCTTCCTGCACTTGGGTGAGGTCCCGCACAGGGCACCAGACCTCGGCGATGAGGCACTTCTTGGTGACATCAAAGCTGCACTGGTTGAGGACGAGGTAGATGGCCTTCATCTTCTGCACCTGCACGCGCCAAGTGGGCAGCACCTGCGCCACCTTGTCCAGCACCTCCGCCAGGTACTTCTCCGTCTCCTCCAGCGTCTGCGGGCACCTGTGTCAGGGATGGCAATCCAAGCGTGGCCCCCACATCCCCTCATGGCACCCAGCTCACCACGCTGAGCTCCTGGATCTGCCCATGCAGCCTGGTAATGGCCTCCGTCCTGCTGGCCTCACTCTCCGGGTACGTATACACCTGGCAGTGGAAGCTGGGACAGAGGGACATTGCCGTGTCAGGGGTGTCAGGGCTGCCCAGCCCGGGCCCACAGCAGGGTCCAGAGTGGGTGTTACTAAATAAACCTCCCTGTGGAGGATACACGGCCACTCACCAGTCCGAGATCTTGCGGATCTTCTGCCCAATCTGCTCGCCCCAGTAGGAGATGAGGAAGATGACCCAGGTGATGCTCTCACCCTGGGGACAGCACAGTCCGTGTCACCCTGGTGTCCCAGCCACCACAGCCGTGCCAGCCCACCCCCGGGTGCTGCCTCACCGTNGGGCACCAGGAAGAGGTGGATGGGGTAGTTCCAGGGCGCTATGATGAGCACCACCCCGTAGGGGTCCTTGCGGATGAAGGCTGAGTCCAGCTGCACCGCCTGTGGGACACCCACCACATCAGGTCCCACCCTGCACCACCATCCCACCCAGCTCTGCCTCCCATCCTCTCTCTCCTCTTCCCTCTCACCAGAATCCTGTCCACCTTCTCATCCTTCATCCAGCGGGACAGGTTGCTCAGGGTCTCATGGAGCTCGTTCTTGCACATGAGGATCTCAGATAATTCAGTTTCAAAGGGTGCCTGCAGACTCCAAGGATGCAACATGTGACCTTGGCATATCCTGCAGCTCTTATCCCAATGCTCCGTCGTGTTATGCCCAGGACTTGGGGACTGAAGCCCTCTACATCCCATGCTGGATTCAAATCCCTAAGGGCATTGAGCACCCCCTGTGTCTGCAACATGATGCTTTTAAGCACTGATTGCTTAAAAATAGGAAAACCTATGCAGATCCCATTCACCTAGACAACAGGAAGAATAGGGAGGGTGTCCAAAGGGACTAGGTTGGGGAAGAGAAGATAATGAGCCCGTGTGGTATTAAGTCTCTGGCTGCAGAGCCAAGGGATCCAGGCTCAGAGAGTCACAGCCTGGATGAGGCCCGTGGGAGGAAAGGGGGGCTGACATCAGGTGGGAAGTTCAGGGCAGGGAGCAGGGACAGAAATCTGGGATTAATTTGCCCAGGGAAGAGGGAAACTGAGGCTGGTGGGTGTGGGAATGGTTATCCCTGTCAAGGTGCCCCCCACCACGCCCTCTGTCTGTGGCAGAGCAAGGATGGACTTTGGTGTATGGTGACAGTGACATGCTTCATCTCAGCCTCCCAAATCCAGAGGCTGTGAGCCCGAGGCAGAGCTGGAGAACCCAATGAGGCCGTGGGAGCCCCTCAGCTCCCCTGGCCACCAAGTCCTCCTGCTCCTGTCCCCTCTCACCTTGCCCAAGTCAGAGGCAGTGGCATCCATGATCTGCTGCTTCTTGTCATCCAGGAAGCGTCCCAGAGCCTCCAGCTGGGCCACACGATATTCCATGGGCCGAGTCTTCCCAGAGAGCCAGGATGCCCGCAGGTGGCTCACCAGCCCTGCATAGGGGTTCCTGCTGTGGGGACAGGGGTGTTAGAGGGATGCCAGCCCCATCCCAGCTCCTCAGAGCATGCAGGTGCCACTCCAGGGAGAGGATGGAGCACCGGGACCCCTCCTGCCACCCGTCTGTCCCTCCACACTCTCACCTCAGGGCGTCACCATCCACACTCCCGTTCCCACCATCGCCCCCGGGGGCTCTCTTGGCCTCGCTCTCAGGAAGCTGCGGGAAGACAGTTCCAGTCTCCATGCTCCCACAGGTGCAGCGTGGGATGGTTGCACTGGGGTTAGCAACCACAACTTCCCTCTTCTCAGCTAACAGGGTGGCTGCCAGCTTCCTGTCCTGCCCTTTGGATGCCCGTCCCTCCCCTTGGCTGCCTGCCCTGCCACACCTCCCTTCCAGCTATGATTGCTTGGGGCAGGGAACGCCCCCCAACCCTCCCAGCACCCCACAGACCAGAGGAGGGAGGCACAAAGAGAGGCTGGGAGAGAGTTTGATGCAAAGTCTTTACTACAGGCAGAGTTACACGGAGCAAAGAGCAACAGCGAGGAGGGACAGAGGTTCATTCCAAAGGAAAAGTCCGTGTGAGGGGAGATGGGACTGATGGGAGCGCTTCTCCAGCAGAAAGAGAAGTTTGGACTAAGAAAAAGATTTTGGTCATTTCATCTGTGTCCTGGAAAATGGTTTGAAGCAGAGGCCACAAAGGGTGCAGGAGAGGATGTCCATCCTGGCTGTCTGACATGCTCCAGCGAGGCAAGGGACACAGTGAGGAAGGAAGTGGGGAGTGCGATGAAGAGGGAGAGTGGGACAGTTCCAGTTCTTCCCGCTGACTCCGTGGCATCTCCAGAGCAGGGCATGGCAGCCTCAGAGCAGGGTGCAGGTGCCCCTGCGCTTCACCTCGAAGGTGGTCGTGAGGAGCCCCAACTTCTGCTGGGTGTAGGGTGGGTAGCGTGGGGTGTTGAGCGTCTCCAGCCCCATGTTCCGGTGCAGGCAGCCACGGTGGAGGGAGAAGGTGTCAAAGGTGAACTTCCCATGGTATTTGCCCAGGCCACTGTTCCCTGGAACACACAGGACAGGTCCATGCTCAGGATGGGACTGCTCCTGATGATGCCTTCTCCAAGCATCAAAATGAGGAAAAAAGACACCTGCAGGATTTTCTGATCAGCAGACATGGTGGAGGAATTCCATTTTTCCAGTGCCTCCTCCAGGTATACGGATGCTCAGTCCAGCCACTCTTGCTGCAGCTCAGCAGTTTGGAGGCCCCAGCATCTCCTTTTTACCCACCTCCATTTATCTACACAAGCTTTGCTGGGTTCTGCAAGTCTTGATTTCACTCCATGATGCTCCACCGTATCTCCCCACGGCTGCAGCTGTTCGACCCTCTTCCCGGAACTCTAAAAGCCTGGAAGCCTGGAGCCACATTGGCAACACCAGTTCTCCCAGTTCCTGTGGCTGGTTTAACCAGAGGTTAAGTGACTTCTCATGGAAGCTTTGGTGCCATCGCACCCCAATGACTTCAGCCCCTTCACCTGCTCTAAAATGGCTTTACCTAATAATTGAAGGTGGTTGGTCTGAATCATTCCCAATTAAGATAAGTTACGGAATGAGAAGTACAAAAAATTGTTCCCTGAGCCACAGGCAGGTGAAGAATTAATTGTCTGGGTGTTTCATTATGTCTGACTCAGATCCCAGCCCCGACAGAGATGCTGAGCAAGGGCAGCACCAAATGAAGGGACTTATCCCAGAAATATTTTGGGAAGAGATCAAGTCATCCAGAAGTATTCTGGGAAACAACATTCCTGTATTCCTGTATCCCTGGACTGTGCTGCACCCACAGCCCGGGGCTAAGCAGCCTCACTTTTCACCTGACAAAGCAAAAATTGGTGCCTCTGCAGACCAAAAATTTCTTCTTCTCCAAGATCCTGTAAGAGGTTCTCCAGGTTTTCATAAGCACTTTGTTCCTACTATTTTGTCCCAAAAGTTGGAATGGAGGTACAACCTGGCTCCTGAGGGACATTAAGGGATCCAGCCCAGAACCACACTGGCTGCAGGAAGAAACTCCCATTCCTCACCATGGCTCAGGCCACGGATCACACCTGGCTCCCAATGGCCAGGACATGTCCCAGTGGACACCTACCAACGCCTCCGAAGGGCAGCGAGGTCAGTGTCACATGCATCAGGGTGTCGTTGCCACAGAAGCCTCCGCTGGTCGTCCGCTCCAGGACCTGGTTCACAATCTGGGAGGGAGAAGAGAAGGTAGATGAGGGGCTTGCGCTTGGCAAATATTACCCACTTTACCCATCAGATGTTCCCAGAGTGTCGGGTCTCTAAAGACCCTTCAGAGCACGTCCTGGGGCTCGTGGAGCGGGTGCCTTACTTCCCTCCCCACTTTTTCTGCTCCACAGACACACCTTGCTGTCGCAGGAGAAGGCATAGACAGCCAATGGCCGTGGCCGTGCGTTGATGAAGTCAATGGCTTCATCCATGTTGGCGATGACGACGATGGGCAGGATGGGCCCAAAGACCTCCTCCTGCATGGCAGGGTCTGAGGGCANCTCCGTCCCGTTTTTGGAGCAGCTCCGGCCACGGCTGCCGGACGGTCTCGAAGCTGGAGCAGCCCAGTGAATCCTTTGTACTTGGATTCACTACAAAGATCGGCTTTGCCTCTGACGGGCTCAGCGCTGGCCCCGACCCCTCAGGGCCGGCACAGGGATGCGGGCATCAGGGATGGTTCCCATTCCCTGTTAAACTGTCTTTGTCTCAGCTGCCTCGTCCCGTTCTCCCCATCCATCCACCCAGCGAAATCCCCGTGGGATTCAGCCAAGACAGCCTAGCAGGAATGGGTATCCCTTTACTGGCACAAGCAGCCCCCCAAAATGGAGCAGCATGGAGTGAAGGAAACTGGGATCATGGGGCAGGATAAACGGGAACATGGGGCAAAGGAAACTTGGAATCATGGAGCAGGAGAAACTGGGAACACAGGGCAAAGGACACTGATATCGTGGGGCAAAGGAGACTGGGATCATAGAGCAGGAGAAACCAGAATCGTCCCAGCTCAAGGATTTAGGATTAGGGAGTTCTTGTGGACCTTCTCAAGGCAGAGTGCACAATGAGGGGCACAGGAGACCCTTCTGCTCTCGTGGTACCAGTGGAAATAAAGCCCCAAACAGTCAGAAAAGAGGGATATGGGACTGGAATGGAGGGAGATGTGGGGGACAAGGGACTCTTGGGGTGAGCAGGGGTGCAGGGAAGTGAAAGGGAAGCACACAGGATGTTGAGAAACACCTTTCATTGCAGCTGAGCACCAGGACCAGCAGCAAGAGATGTCCTGAGTGGGATGTAGACACCATCAGAGCAGGGTGCAGTCACTCACACGTGCCGTCTTTAAAGCAGCCTGGATGATCCCGAATTTCCTCTGGCTGTAGGGGGGGTAGCGCGGGGCGTTGAGGGGCTCCTGGCCCATCCCACGCTTCAGGCACCCACGGGCGTGGGAGAAGGTGTCAAAGCTGAACTTGCCGTGGTGCGTTCCCAGGCCGCTGTTCCCTGCAATACACAGCACAGCACCCCGGTGGGCAGCTGGATCTGGTCATCTTTTGGGTCAAAGAACCCAAAATTAGGCTCCCAGCTCTGTGAAAGCAGCACCACTCCTTCACCCAGCTGCTTTCCAAGCCATGGATGAGCTTCCCAGGAATGTGACCCAAAGAGGACCATGATCCAAAGTGCTCACCCAAGTGGATGTTTGGAGTGGGAAGATCAGGCTGGAAGGTGGAGAAATTCCCCAAAACTCTCTCCTCAGTGGATTTTACCATTTCAATTAAGATGTTTAGCAACTGGATGGGTGTCACCGATGAGGTGATGCTCCCACCAGATGAGCTTCCCTACCACAGGAATACCCTCCAAAAGTCATCCCATCCATGCTGGATCCAGCCCTGCTGCAAGGGGGCAAGACTGCAGGGGTGGAGAGGCACAATGGCCGAGGTGCCTTTGGCAAGGTGGCACCAGGGATCAATGTCGGGAGGTGAAAGCTGGCTGGCCAGGAACAAGCACAGGAAAGCCAGGCAGGCTGGCAAAAAGTAACAAAATCCACACATGATTTAGTAACAGATGGGATAAAATGCCATGAGTCAGCCTGAGCCAGTCAGTCTTCCTGATAAAATGCTAATCATGGTTAGGGTGATGCCTTGGGTGCAGTTCCTCACACATCAGCAGCCCCAGGATAAAGGGAAGTCACTGATGCCTCCTAGCCAGCTGAGTGGGAAGAGAGGAAAAAAGGTGGAAAACAGGAGTGGAAAACAGGAGCTGGTAGAGGAGATCATCCCATAAAAAGCAAGTGTCTCCATCATGGAATCCCAGGATAGTTTGGGTTGGAAAGGGCCTTAAAGACTATTCAGTTCCACCCCCCCTGCCATGGGCAGGAACACCTCCCACTAGACCAGGTTGCTTCAAGCTCTGATTCCCTGTGTGGTAATCCACATTTCCATGGATCCAGGGAGCACAGAGCTTGGGATGGGGAATATGGAGAGAAAGAACTTCAGGGTGCTCCATGGGTGTCCAGCAAAGCCCAAGAGCCCAAGATGAAGCAAAGGGCTTCTGGAGGAGAATTTCCCTATGGACTACTGAGCCCTCTGGAGCTGAGCGTTCCTCCTGAGACCCTTCCTGACCATGGGTGGGATCACACCTGGCTCCCAACGGCCAGGGTTGGGGATTTTGGACCTACCAATGCCTCCAAAGGGCAGTGAGGGCAGTGTCACATGCATCATAGTGTCATTGCCACAGAAGCCACCACTGCTTGTCCGCTCCATGACCCGGTTCACCACCTGGGAGTGACATGAAAAACATGAGACATGGGTCTCCCACCCCATTCCACTAATTCCAAACACAAACCCCCTGACTAGGGCTGTGTGCTGTAAGGGAAACACTTGGAGCACAAACATGGCTGGATACAGCTGCCAAGGAGCACAGGGCAGGTGTAGTCCTAGCTTGGATTTACCTTGTCATCCGAGGAGAAGGCATAGACAGCCAAGGGCCGCTCCCGGCTGTTGATGAAGTCAATGGCTTCATCCATGTTGGCGATGA